TTATACTCCTTACGGAAATAGAATAGGGAATACGAAAAAATATTTGGAAATATCGATGGATAAATGTTTTTATGAAATGAATAATACAAATTACTGATAAATAATTATGAGTTTATATAATTATTCTTTGCGTCTGCAGGCGACTTAATGACATGATCAATATCAACATATATTGCTAACCCATACAGCACACATTAATAAAATATTTAACGCAAATATAATTCTATAAAATTTAAAAAAATGAAAGGAAAGAAAATAGTTACGTAAATTTTGACGAAGACTATGATGATTTTTAAAAAATGTATCTATATATTTAATTAAAAAAGCATTGAGTGTGTATCATCAATTATTCTTCAGATTTTTAATCAAATTTTTAAATTCTTCACTTGTAGTAACGATTACATAATTGTTGCCAAACATATCATCAGCAATTGTCGTGAGAAGAGACTTTCCTTTTATTGTCTGCAATAAATCGCTGTAAATACAAACATTCTTTGTAGCTACATTTTGAATATAATATGATTGTTTTGTGTAAAGAGAAGTCATTATCGTTGCTACGTCGTGCTCGTAAATATATATTATATTTTTTTACTCAATATTTGTTTTATTTAATATTTGTTTTCCTTTTGGATGAATATAGAAAAACTTAACCATTTATGATATACATCAGTTTCAGTTTCAATATGATCAATATATTTTTTTCGAAACTGTTCAATTATATATTTTATTTGTACAGATGCTATATGTAACATTTAATAGCTCTTATCTGAAAAATCATAGCAATAACAAATGTAAACCGATTTGTATAATAGTCTACTAATTTCGTTATGTTAAACTTATCAAACAGTTACTTACAAATGCTGCTTCAAAATTGTTCTTTGTACGTTGAAATTTTTGAATTTTCTTCTGTCTTTTAACTTTTTCCTTTAATTCTGCATTTAATTTTAATCCTCATTTGCAGATGGCTTTTTATCACTAATGTTTTTTTTCAATAGATTTAGATTAACTTTGATTAATTCTTTTTGTTTCATGTTAAATGAATTATAATATCATATAAACATTTTTTAAAAATAATTTTAACACTATTTTTGAATAGCATATTCATAATTATTTTAAATCTGCAAATAAGAATGAAGAAGTTATCTATATAGGTCAACGTAAAATTTTAATATAAATGTTAAAATTAATCGTGTTTCTTGTGGAGTAATAATTTTAATGACACAACTAATATTGAAAATAATAAATTGCAAAATATACTTTATTATATGGTGATTAAAATAGATTTATAACGATCAATTAGTCGAATAACTGACAATAACTATCACGATCGATCTAACGAGACTACAACTGGCTAAAGCTCATCACATATACTGATTTTAATATATGTCACCAATACTGACACGAATCTCTGGTGTTATGTTTATGTGTAGTACAATCGTGTCGACATAAATTGTTTGTAACAAACATTCCGCGAATTAAGTAATTCAAACAATTAAAAATATAAAGCTTTTTGAGAATTAAGTTTCTCGCAGAGAAACCGAATAACAATGATAAATATTTAATTATAATGTTAAAGATAATATAAGAAAATTTTATGTTCTACTGCAACTTATGAATTTCAAATAGACCTATACAATTTTAATAAAAATTTAATACATATACATGAAGCACAATAAAGAAAACATAAATTTTATTTTAAGAGAATGTTGAAATATCTAAAAAATTTTTAAAAATCAAAATCGACGGAGGTCGATATAACAGATTTGTAACTCCAAGCGCGCTACGCGCTCGTAAAGCGTATGTACTATGTAGCGAATCTCCTTAGATCCATGTGATAATGCAAGAGGTCGACATATTGTTACGTTCTTCACCGACGAGATACGATTACCGTGAGTGTATGTGTGCCGTAAAATTTATTAACATTTATTAATATCTTCTATTCATAAAAATTAAACATTCCTCAAAGTATCAGAACTGGTGAGTTGAAAATTGTCATATAATTCTCAAATCAAAATTTATTTTGTTAAGCGTGTATTCGCCTAACCTCTAAAACACCACGTGGAACATAACATATGACATTAAAAATATTTGTTAAAATAGGAAATAAAATATTATATCTTAATTGAAAACAATTTGATTACGTTTTTAAGACTTTCATGGGTATTCTCTTTAATAATGACAGGTTTACGAGTTTAACGTTTCGGCAGCATTTTTCACAAAACGTTGGCATGACATTAAAAATGAATAAAAAGAATCGTAAACCTGTTAGCACTTTGAAAACTAATTTATCATTAAACTGCACTTATATTGTTGTCTTTCTTTTTTTTATAGAAGTTCCATAGAAATTACAAAGAGAAGTAATACGATGAATGCTACAGAGATTTCTCATGAAGTACACTTCTCTTGTCGGACGTGCAAAGTAAAGTTTAATGATTTGACATTATTTAAAAGTCATTATCGTTCCGAATGGCATAGCTACAATCTACATGCCTCAGTGAATAGATTGCTTCCAATTACACTTGAAGACTTCCAGGCGAAGGAAGCGATTTATCGCAAGAGTAGTGCAGATCAAGTTAAAAGAAAAAAGCAGATATGTGAAATCTGCCGAAAGAATTTCAATGGGATGAAACAGTACGAAAATCACCTGATCTCGAAAACTCACAAAAAAAATTTGCAGCAAAATGATAATATCGTAACTCGCACAAAAAAATTGCCAGATAGATTTAACTGTCGAAGAAACGACCAGGTAGAGAACATGTCTGTTGAGAATGGAGAGGAAATGGAAATATGTTCAGATGTAGAATCCTTGGATTCGGACGAGTGGCTCGAGGACTCAAAGTATCGTATTGATAATAATTGCTTATTTTGTAATTATCAAAATGAATCCATAGAAGGCTGCATGAAACACATGAAGCAGAAGCATTCATTTTTTGTACCTGACCTTGAGTACTGTGTGGATCTAAGTGGACTATTAGAGTACTTGGAACAGAAGATATGTGCCGATTTCAAGTGTATTTGGTGCAACGACTCAGGTAGATAAGTCATTGTTTTTTTCTAATTAATTTACCATTACATTTTAGCTCTTTTAAAATTTTATTGTAAACGTTTCTAAAATAAATTTTGATTAAAATTAAAATAAAAAAAGTTAAATTAAAAATTTGGATCAAACAAATAGTAATCACAATTCAAAAAACTTAAATTAAAATTAAAATTTGCATATTATTACAGGAAGAAAAATGCGAAGTGCACAGGCTGTGAAAATGCATATGGTCGACAAGGGCCATTGTAAGATGTTGTTCGAAGGAGATACGATGCTCGAATATTCATCTTTTTACGATTATTCATCCAGTTATCCGAATGTCGAGAATGCTAATCCGGATGAAGAATTGCCAGAATTACCCAATGTTTTAGATGACGAAGGTTACGTAATGAAATTACCGTCCGGCAAGTCGATCGTCCATCGTTCCTTGGCGCTTTACTATAAACAGAATTTACCTACGGGAACCACAGTGACAATAAAGAACTTTAATCATTGGTTGCACAAGCGAATGTTTAAGAGTATATCGTTTGGTACTGCTGAAAGAAAACTTGAAGCCGCCCGGATGACAACACGAGACGTTCAAACCTTCCAGCGAGTCCAAGCAAAGCAGTCAGTGCAATTGCAAATCAAACAAAACAAACTGCAGAATTATATGAGACGGCAAACTGGTTTTTAACTATAATGACTATTATTAATGTCTATAGTTAATGAATTGTACTCCTTTTATGTCTAATTTTTAGAGAAAAGATTATAAAAAATATAATTCCGTAATACGAAATTGATTATTATCGCACTATTATATTTTGTCATATTTTTTATAGATACAACAAAAAGCACATAAATGCATAAATAGATTGCATAACGATACGATTACACAACCAAAATGTTTGCTGGGAACTTTTTTTTTTCTAGTATTTAATAACTTTGTCTGTTAATGGAAACTATTTATTTTTTAGTGATTTTTGATCATAATTGACCTAATGTATAAATTTGAACAGAACAGCAGAGTTAATTCTAGCTTTGTTAATTCAGGTTCAAATTCAAGTGCCCCATAATTCCATGTCGTTTCAATTGCTACGAAATCGAAATTTATTACTTTTTTTTAAAGAATATACATTATCACGCAATACAAATCATTATAAATCGTTTTATAATTCGCATTTAACGGACGTTCTTACAAAATAACTCGTCTATACTTTATATATACTTTTTTGTAACACGTTTTACCGACAAAAATATCCTATTTTCATCTCAAATAACTTTTTTTATGTGGACCCGTTTGTTATATCCAGAGCAACACCCCTGTATCGTGACCGAGGTCGCTACTTTCGTTAGAACGATAAATATACATATAAGTTAGAAGAGAAATGATTTGCACGTCATCGTATTTTGCTGATGTTCACATGAAAAAGAAAGAGGGAAAAAAGATATAACTGGACGTTTATGCACTTCATAGACCATTTTTCATGGTGACATCAGCGAATCACGAGATGCAAAAGAAATTTGATAATATTTGATACTTTGCGATTTTCTTTTTGTTTTTTCCTTTCTATTGTCGGATCGATACTTCGCTATAAATAATGTTGCGCCCGTATGTTTCCCGAAATGTCGGCTGAGTTAAAACTAAAGCTGCGCTATCCGATATCGAGAGGCGCGACACCGGAAGATCGATCCTCGGAGCAACGAGTTGTTTTGGATAGAATTTGAGATTGAAAGGTCGGTCTCTATGGCTCTTCTGTAAGTGAGCTCGTTAAAGTTTACATCAAAAGAAAAATCATCTTATTTGTGCTTCCGCGAGTGCTGTTAAATGTGCAAACATGCGTCGCGCGTGACAATAATATTTTCTTTTAAATCTTCAAGTATCTTCTCTGAATTTCTGCTATATATATTTATATATAGGTATAGCAGGAATATAAAATGTGTGTGTGTGTGTGTCTATATATATATTATATATAATATATACACACATACACATTTTATACACAGATATTTCATTTTTCTATTTTTTCCTTGAATTAATTACAAAAAAATATACGTATATACATAATTTCATAATAATACAATATTATTGATAACAGAAGTAATAATAATAAAATATTTTGTTTCCTTAGAAAATGTCCCAAAATTGTTGTAATACAATGGGATTTTTAGAAAGAAGATTCTCTTATATACATTCAAAATTTATCGTTTAATTAAATTAAATTTGATCATTGGTACTTACGTTTATCTTAAACGTTTATGATTTTTAACGTATATAAAAATTAAATATACGCGATTTTACATTTCGTATCTTATTTGTTTTGCTAGATTGACTTTTAGAGTCGAGTTGACTTCCGCGCAGAGCGGGAATAAAGGATCCGAATGCGAGACATTTGATAGATTTTTAGCGGATTCGCCCGTTCGCTGCATTAAATTATTCAATTTTATTAAATTATCGATCTCTTTCTCCGTTTCTTTCAAACCGAATGTTCCTCATTCGGAACACACTGGGGGCAGTAATACCGGATATCGTTCGGAGATATTTCGACACGTGTACTACTTAAAACGCGTGATGCCACTCTTTTCTCTTTTGCTTTTAGATAAATATATATTCTACGAGAAGGCGTCACGTCATTCGCGACGCCGAGACATGTATTATTAACAGAGCTGTTATTGTCATGACACGACGACGATACACATATCTTTTATCTACTTTGCGCTTTGCGCTTTCGTGCCGACGGTTTAATTTAATTAAGCTCTCCGAGCGAGCGACTTTCTTCTGTTTATTTTCAATCTACCAACTTCACCATCAGTTTTACCGCCTCATGGGGCGGCGCTGGACTGATAGACTTGTCCAAGTGTTCCGCGTACAGAATCTCTGCTTCTACCTGGTAGCCATGCTTCAGATAGACCTTCTGTGAGAATACACTGGTCGCGTCGGCCTTACACACCTGCGATGATATAATAAATCAGATTGTGTGATTCTCATTTTTCTTTTTTACTAAATTTCTATTATAAATAAAATTAAAAGATCTCTCTGAAAAATAAGCTAGAAGTCGATAAATAAAAATAATTTTAAAACTCCGTCTTAATTTTTGTTATTTGATTACTATGACTACGATAAATCTTCTTTTCCTTTTAATCAGCTTTTAATAATATAGATAAACAATCAAATAATTTTTTTTACTTTTCTAATTTGTAAATATTGAGATTAAAACAAAAGCATGTATTAATGATATCATCTATACATATTACTTTTGTAATATTGATTTTAAAATGCAATTTTAGTGTAATAATTGATTACAATAATAAATATATATTTTTGAAGCATGTTTTTTTCTTTAAATTTTCGTCCTTTTTTCCAAGCAATTCAAAAAAGTAAAAAATAACAATTTTTTAGTTCGTTGTAATAAATGAGATATTAATTATTTTACTAGAATTAGATAGTCAAGATATTTCTAGAATGAATGCCATTCGATAAATAAGTAAATTTTAACATTTAGACCATTGGACCTTGAAAATTGTTAATATTAAGAAATTGATTTATAAATAAATATAATTATTACATTAATCTTATCCTTTACTATGTGAAAGGAAGTGCAAAGGTGCACATTTTCCAGGGAAAGTGGTGGATTGTAATTATACCTTGTGAGGAAGTAAACGAAAATCCCATGCATATTAACCGAAGAGCATGCTGAAACAAAAGGAAAGTGTGTACTGTGTACGCAAACTAAAAAGTAAAAACCATGCAATGCAACGATCTTAAATAATGATGAAATAAAAATAAAAAATTCGCTCTTTGTAACATGTAAAATTAATAAAATAATTCTCTCTCTCTCTCTCTATATATATATATATATATATATATATAGTTCTTTATAATTATTTTCGATTCTTTCTCTTTGCAGAAGAATAAAATAAATATAATGTAAAATTTTATACTTTTATATATTATATTATTACTTTGATAAAAGAGCATTTTTAACGAACTCCACATAAATGTCGTATAAAATTTTTACATTATATTTATTTTATTCTTCTGCAAAGAGAAAGAATCGAGAATAATTTTCAATATTTTGTATATACACGGAAATATTCTGTATATACACATAGATGAAGGTAACTTTATAATTAAAATTAATCAATTTATAATTAAGATAAAATTGAAAAGAGATGGAATAAATCAGATTAGATTAAAAAATTTTGTAAAGAAATTAATTTAAATAGATCGATATATAAATATAGAATAAATTAAGAGAATAAATAAATTTCAAATAAATTAAAATCAAGTTAATTTACCTTAAAACCAGCATTTTTGGCGATTTTCTCACAGTCGGCTATGAGAATACTGGCTAAGCCTTTGCCGCGATAATTCTCGTCAACGCTGAGAATCCGACACTCGAACAGCTCGTCAACATCATACTTGGTGAACAAATCAATCTTGTCGTTGACCTTATGAAGTAGTCTGAAGATTATCTTGAACTTTTCGTCTTCGAACTCGTCGAGACGCCGCTCAGCCTCCTTGTGTTCACCTTTTTTCAGAATACCGTTTAGTGCCATTCCCGCTATCTGATGAAAACCAATTTTAATAATGCTTATTTTTTGTAAAATTATAAAATTGACAGATACGTACATACATATATATGTATATATATGTATGTAAATAATATATATAAAGTTTTTATACATATACGTAAAACCGATATATATATATATATATATATATATATAAATTATTGATTTGCAAGATAAGAAATTAAAAAAATTTTTTAATTAATTTCATATTTTTAAATTAATTTATTTAATTAATTTTTTGTTTATTCTTATATATAAACTTCTTTATAAAATTTCTTTATAATGATAATTAAATTAAAACATTTCAATTATCATCATAAAGAAATTAGTTCATATATAAGAGTAAACAAAAAATTAATTAAATAAATTAATTAAAAAATATCAAATTAATCAAAAAATTCTTTTGATTTCTTATCTTGCAAATCAATTATTTATAAATTATTAAAAAACAAATAAAAATATAAATTATATATTAATTCTATGGAAAATAAAATAAAATATTTAAAAATAAAAAATTTACTATTATTATTAATAAATACTATTATTAAATAATATTAATAAATAATATTAATATATACTATTATTATTATAAATAAATTTTAAACATTAAGAGTATAAAGAAAATGGAAAAAATTAGGACAAGTTAATTTTTCCCCGAAAATAATTAAAAATAATGAAATAAATAAAAATTTTTGTATTTCGTGACGTAGGGTGGGAGGGGGGAATCTCACTCACCGCTCCCTTCTTATCTACTAGCATCCTGGAGTAACCCTGCTTCAAGGTGAGAAGGCAGTGTTGCTCAAGATCGCGCTGGGATTCTCCCCTTGCGCAAAGCCCTACGGCGTTGTTAAGCGGCTCATCAGCGAAGAAGTTCCATCTCAGATGGTGGATTGCCTCGTCGTAGCGATTCTCTGGCACATCCACGACCGTGAAACAATCCTCGCTAGAAGACGACGACATGTTTTGGGTGGGCGAATTTTCCGCCGCGCACTGAAAGCAATTTCCACACGCGCATCTCCTCTTAGTGAAGAAGGGTGGTCACCACCACTCGTATGAGAAAACTGCCACCTGCCTGTCCCTTCCTCCCGTATAATATTGATTGACCTAGTTCACTGACGAATACACTGGGTCAGTTGTACACGTCAATTATTGTGTCACATTAATTGGAAAATTAATTCATTTAACGAGATTAATAAGAGTTCAATTAAAACTAATCTGATTAATTTAATACACGGAGAATTTTTTTTTAAATTTACTCTGTAAATCATGTTAATTATGAGACAATATAGTATTTAGGCAAATTTTACTGTGCACTACAATAAGATTTCGCAGTAAAATTTATTGTAGTGCACAGTAAAATTTACCTAAATACTATTTAATATTGTCTTACAATTAACATGATTTTCAGGATAAATTTTAAAAGAAAATTCTCTCCGTGTACAGTCTCCGTGTACAGTAAAACAAAACAGTTATAGTTCGTATTTATTAAGTCAATTTTTCTCTAAGTTTTACCATCATGTCACGATTGTGTAAACATAAAAATTATCTGCGGATATTTATAACGAGTAATCTCAATTCTGATCAAAATTATATCGATTTCAATTTAAAAAAAAATAGCAGATTTGTCTATGCAGATAAAGATTAAATTTTGAAATCGATTTTACTGAATAAATTACATTATAAATACAAAGATTTTCGACATTTTCTTCTAATTCAAATATCTTGTTCACATTTCTGTAAAAATTTAAAAAAAAAACAAAGTAAAAACGACAAAGAAATTGTGATTAATAAAAGAATATAAATAATATAATATATATACATACATATATTTATTATATATTTGTAATCATTACTATACTCGGATTGTACAATTCCTCGCATCATAAAAGCCAGATATAAATGATGATGGAATGATTTGATTTATATTTAGAATTAAAATACTCGTCGTTATTTAGAATATATTAAAATATTCGGAATACTTTTAAGAAGTAACAGCGTTGTTGTCACATGTGTATATATATACGGCATGATACATAATTAATTATTTATACAAATTACTGCACAACAAATACTATAAAATGTATTTTTCAAGAAATAAACAAAAATAGTAACAGTGGCTTTTTTAAAGCGGAAAAGGGATTGCCAACGACATTCTCTAAAATGTACAAACGAGACTGTCGTGACTCCGACGTAAATTTATGTGTTCTTTCTATTTAGATATTAACATCTTAAAATTTATAACAGTATTATTTACAGTATTTAAAACAGAACATCATCATCGCTCTCTTCGAGCAGATTTGCAGCGTCCAAATTTTGTCCGGCTGCAATCATTTCTGCTCTTTCTGCTTCAGCCTATAATAAAGGAAAGATATTTAAATAATATACAAATTATTAATAAAACATATAAGTAATATGAAATTCTTAGAATGTTAATAGAAACGGAATGTCAATAGAAACAAAATATTAATAGAATTAATAAAATAAATCTATTATACCTTTGCCTTGGCAATCTTCTTCTTGTCCTGAATCTTCTTCAATCGATAGAACTCCTCTCTTTCAAGCTCGTCGAGCTCTGAAATAATATAGGCTAGCGTTCTCTCGATTCGTGGGATGATAACGTGCTCGATAGCATTGACACGTCGATTCGTGATTTTGATAACTTCATCCAGAGTAACAAAACTTGTTTGCAACGACGCCAGTTCTACGAGCAGTTTCACGGCCCGTTGATAGTTCTTCTTCAGTTTAGCCAATTGCTGACCACCTCTGGCCAGACCTGCTAGTTCGTAAGTATCTGTCCCATCCTGATAGGATTCGAATACTGGTAGATTCACACCGGCGACGTTGTCCTTCTTAGAACGGATCTTGATCTGTGCTTTCGTCACATTTTGTAAAACCACTTGATTGAAGTCGCCCGTAGCAAATTTTGCTTCGGCTAGTGAAAAGGCTGCCTCCTTCATCACTTCACCCATCAAAGTTTTCGTCTAAAAATAAAAAAAGAATAATACGAATTAGTTTTATATATACACATACGTCATACATAAATAACAATATGTAAAACGTTAGATATAGTTTAATAAAAACTAACTAACAATATATGATACAGTGTACAATAGAGAAATAAAATTAATGACAAAAAAAATCATACTTCTATGATTTTCCCCAGTATCATTCTGAAACGCATTTGCAGTGCATCTGCCTTCTTTTTCAACAATCCATGTCCTTTTTGAGCTCCTTGTAAGCGAGACTTCATCAACATCTGGGCCCTAAATATACAAAAAAAAATACTTTAAATAATTTAATTAATAAAATGTTACAAATTCTTACAAACATACTATAATATCTTCATTTTTTAAATCATTAAAATAGTAGCCTTGTATATTTAAAATATATACTATTACAATTTATAAAATTTTACATTACGTGATTAAATATTATACAAAAATTCGTGAATTATGTTTCTTCACACAAGATATTTTTACTACAAAGTAGAAAACATGAAAAGTATTCAATTTTGCTTGTTAGACATATATTTCAGATGTACATCTCGAAAAATATTTCTTAAAATATGTCGTGCAACAAGCATTTGCAAACAAGAATTTGCAAAATAACATTCTTTACGAATAAAGCACATTTTAGTAACATAAAAGAGAATAAGAATCTTAAATAAACATTCTTTTAACAGTTGAAGGCTGGGGGGTTACACCCAATACTGTAGTATGTTTCAAGACGGAATTCTGTTCGAGGATAAATGATGGTACATGATATATGAATAAAATCTTTTAGATTTTGTAATAATTAGTTCGTTAAAACAAGAAACTTACCCCCGAGAGGGGAAAATCGGTAATTTGTCTTTGCCTGACATTCTCAACTACTGTGCATCAGCAGACAGGAACGGGATTGATCAGCTGACATGAGAAACCGGAAGTCTAGGTAAGTTCCCAATGGCGTTTCCAACGGCGCGCAATTTGAAAATACGTACATACCTAAAGAGACCAATATGGTTGTTAAAAACAAATAAAAATTGAATGATGTAACAAGTAATGTAAAATAATATAAATAAAATTTTATAACATTTAATATATATATATTAATTATAATTTATTTATAATTAATTTAAATGTATCTTTAATTTATATTTTTACTTTATATATGCATATATACATATATAATTATGTATATTATTATTATATATATTATATATAATTTTTAATTTAATATTCCGAATATGCTCATATAAATCGAACGTAAATGTATTTGGAATTAAAAATTGAATACTTATGATACTCAAATATGAGATGTAAATCTTGATATATATACTTGATACTGTGATATATACATTTGAAATATATGATATAAATTTTTTGTCAAAATAAAATATCTTTAATATTTATGTACAAAAAATACAATGCGGTTCAATATAGTACAATCTGCTCAGGTTTTAAAACCTGTCTTACATTCATATTAATTCTAGCTTCGGCGATGTAAGTTCGCGCTTTACGCCAATCGTCCAGATTGTACGGGGGACTTTTGCAATTGTCCTCACAATCGTCGTCCCAAGGTGCTTTCGACGCCGCTAAAATCCGCGGTACCCCGTGATACCTCAGACGGGAGCTTCCCGACATTATCACTACGTCCCCACTTCGCAGAAAGATAGCATTAGTCGGATCCTCCTGTTTAAGACCGCCAATCAGAAAGACCGCTGTCTGCCCGAAACTTATGGAGAAGAGCGGCGCTGTAACATTCATCTCCGAATGATCTGTATGCCCCGCCAAAGTCGAGTTCATCCGATAATAATTTACAATCGCGGCCTCCGCTCTAAAGTCCGAGAAACCTAATGCTTTCGCCAAAATGCATGTCAGACCGGATAATTCCGTCGGCATGCCACTTCTCGAATCTTCCGAGTATAATTTCGTGTCCCAATTGTGGTGATATCCCAGCGTCGCCCATCGTAATTTCGGCAAGAGGGTTTTAGCTCTCTTCGTTCTGTACACAACAAATAAAAATTTAAATGTTACTTTAAATCTTACTATATGTGAATAGACTTTCGCCTTAGCCATAATTTAATTTGCACAAAAATCTATATTCATTAACAAAATGTTAATATTCTATTTAAATCTATGTTTCGACACAGTAACAATTAGTGATAGATTAATGCTAATCATTTTTCTTACTGAAAACATATGTCCCACCACGTTTCGTTATTTAAAATATTATGAGCGTCTATATTTAACTTGTACGGCTCCTTAGAGTAGTCTTTCAAACATTTCGTGATCCAGTATTGTTGGCCGTTGGATGTAAATGGATTCTGAATAAAGATGAGTCCTAAAAATCAAGTAAGATACAAGTAAGAATAAACAGCTACATTGAATTAAATACACTAATTATTACAATGTGCCACAAAACAATGTTGTTATTTAGAAGTAACGTTATATAAGCAAAGATTAAATGATTAAAGATTAAGATATAACATTTCGAAAAGCAATATTATTGACGATATTATTTAAGAGCAACTTTAATGGTTACTGTTATTTTATGTAAAATTTATGCACCGGGAATATCCAGTAACTCGTAAATTCTCCATTTCTTCGCCGATTTGAGGCCAAAATTGTCCTCTGTCTGTTCGCCAGTTACATGTGCCTCGAGTTTCCTAACCTAAAAACAACATTCGCGATTAGTCTTCTAAAGGAATATACGAATAGAGATATTACGTACTCTGATGCGATCTGGACGTTCGAGATCGATCACGTCGCCGAAATCCGGTGCGGGATTCCGGCTTTTGTAATATTTGAAACTATCTCGAAACATCCCTTTCCGACCGTGCGAGCCGCCATGTTTTCACGAGCTTCTTCGTCTAGCTAGAGTCTCTAGAAGACAGAGTCTGGCTCTCTCTGTTCAGCTGCTAGACTACTTTTGATTGGCATACGATGACGGCACGAATCAAATGTAGAGAGAGAATTATTGAATAACGCGCGTTTATTGAAAAATGTGTAAACGTGAAATATCGTTAATTTCTTATTATAAATAATTAATATTATATAATTATACAATAAATTTCTGAATTTGTACACTTGGACATACAACAAGAAGATATTTTGTACTCTAAAAAGTATAAAATATAAAATTACGTACGTTTTAATCATGTTTTCATATGTATTAATTTAAACTAGTTAAAAGTTGAAACTTCGTTTGAATCATTACGAGAAAGATTGTAAAATATATAATATATACGCATAGAAATTATATAGTGTGACGCTTTAATCATATTTGATGTAATCAGCTATAAAAACTACATATATATATATATTTTTTTGTACAATTACAAGTATAAGAAATCAATGAATAAAACTTTTCGAAACAGCACGCGTAAAAATTAGATAAAAATTGTTTAAATTATTGAGGACGAGATAACGTACAACGCACTGTTGTAAATGGGACTTATTTTGTTTCAGAATCTAATAATAAAATTTTTTGATTATCGAGTCGGTGCACGAAGAATAATTCCGATTCTCTTTTAAACCATATGTGTTGAAGCATATAAATATATTTTGCGGACATTCGCGGACGTATCGTCTGACTAAGAGCGGAAAAACGTGCCCGAACCGGGCGGACACGTAAACTACGCCACCCACTATTATTACTCAATATACTTTGCATATCTTCCATCAAGTCGGGAGATTACATCGAGAAAGTACGGCGGTTTTTCTTGCAGTGGAATACTCGAAGCCGCGAAAGCCTAAGAGTTAAAATATTAATTTAAAAGCTTCTTCATTAAGGTTTCGGCTTCTTCATTAAGTTTCCTTAAAAATCAGAAAATAATTAATTCCGACAGATATAAAAGAAACGAATAATGAATTTATCTATGTCGTAATTATACAGTAATATAATTTGCTTATATTATATTTACATATTCTTAAAAATGAATATAAATGATACATTTAAATTTCAAACTATTTGCCATGCTCGTATTAAACATATTGGAATATATAAAATAATCTTATCTAAAGATTAATATTCTGTTCAAAAGATGTATATGTTATTGTATATTTACTTGTCATATTTATTGTAATGTACACAATTTGTATTATATTATGTGTTATTTGCGCAAGTGATATGAGACTTATATATCAAACAGGACTGTCAAACAATTAATTGGAATATTAATTCGATCTTTGCTCTCTATAAAAAAAATACCGGTTCATTACTGTAACCGAAAATAAATTATTTATAAATTGAAAAGAACTTTATATGACAAGATTAAAACATATAAAGCTATCGATCAACGGATATTGTGATTAGTTTAATCAGCGATTAATGCATCTGGATTTGCAGAATTACAGCAAAATTTCGAACCGTGTATTTCAACAAAAAAAAAGAAAGAAAAAATATTAGTCGACAAATTAATAATCGAATAAATTAATCGATGTTTGATCGAAGTCATCCTAAATCCACTACTTGTTCTCGCAGCGCGTGCAATAATCGTCTGTGACTAATTTTAGCGTGCGATTTTCGCATAATGCGGCATTGCCGAGGAACGGCGTGATTTCATAGGATAGCTGCGAGCAGGGCAGGGCACCGTGCAGGCAGCGCCTCTCAAGGCTTTTCGAAAGCCTCTACCGCGAGTAAATTAATAGACGCGGCAGGCCGCGGTAATAATGATCGTCCATTACCGTCGCGCTTCTATTCACCATAAATCTCGCCCACCCACCCAACCTGATCACACGTTAAATCTGTTCACCCGCACACCTGCAACAATCGACGTGTATTGATCCTATTCGATCGACCTAAATCGACCGTCGATCACGACCGAAAAAAAAGTCAACGATTGCAAAAGTTATATTGACGAAAAGAAAATTGATGATCGCGATGTACAAACTATAGAACAAACTATAGAACAAGTTATAAAAAAAAGACAATATAGAAAAAGTTATTAATTGACGATGTCACGAGAATTAATAATTCTTTATTTCTGTATATTATAGATTTCTTTCGTTATAAGATAAATGGCTTTATTTAAGAAAAAATTAGACTTTCCTTTTACTTGTCCATGTCCGTAGAGAACATATTTAATTTCAGAATTAACGCAAGCAACATTAAATCAAACGCTTGCGTTTTGTCTGCAATTAAATATATTCTCTATACAGTGCAGCTAATCTCTATTGTGTAATTACATCTCTATTAATAATAATTAATAAGTCAAAGCTATTAAAAGCTGTGTCAATTTACAGAATTAAAAATCAAGCAATTTTTAATTCTATAAATTAGAGTGTAAAGTTCATGTAAATATTTTTCACTTGTTTGTCTATACTTTTTCCGGCGGCGACGTCCGTAGAGATCCTTGGTGCTGTCAGGAGACTGACGTTTCTGGCAGAATTAAGCGTTCTAGGAGTGCCTAGAGAGGAGCGCGACACGCACGCGGATCGAATGTGCCGGCGTGGCGCGGTAAGGGAGCGGTGCGCGTACTCTCCCTGACAGTTTCATGTCAACAAATGTCGCGGCCGAGGCGTCGCGCCCAGCCGAGCCGAGCCGAGCCGAGCCAGCCAGCCAGCCTGCCAAGCGGTCCGGCGGGGTCCGCCGCGCGTATTCGCGGAGTCGCCGCGCGGCCAACCGCGGCGCCGTGCGACGTCACCGCCGGCCAATCTGCGCGCGCCGCGGTGACGACGCGGGCTAAATATAGCCCGTATATATCTAGGCCGGTCGCGACCGCGAATTATCCACAGTCGCGCGCCGGCGGCCGACGGAGGAGGATAAAGTGGATTATCGAAGGGAGCGGATTTAAGTGCGTGCGCAGTGCGCGAAGTGCGAACACGGCGCCGGATATACGGGACGCTGCGAAGGTAGGAGAATCCGATGCGTGCGTGTGCAGCTTTCGAAATCGAAAGCGCCGTCCGTCCCTCTCGGTCTCCGCAGTAAACGTTAATAAATCACCGATCGGGAGAATAAATCGACCGCGAGAAGGCGGGCGCACTCGCGTCAAATTCGGAGCACGTGTTTGTGGTAATAAACACGCAGCTCCTATACGGCTATTCTCGGGCCGCGTCTGAGATTGTCTGACAGATTGCGGATTGTTTCGCGACTTTTGGCCGGGCGCGGATTTCGGTCGCCGAGAGCGCGGCGTGAGAGGTACGTAACGAGCGGCGTGACGTTGCGTACGCAAAACGCTCGAAGTGCGCGTCTTCGATAACATCGCGCGATACGCACGGTCTATTCATCAATTTAATCGCACTATCTGTTTTTTTTTATTTTCTGACATTATCGGAATCCGGTCTTCTTAAATTTTACATAGAAATTTAAAAAATCATTGATATTTCACTATTACAACAAACTATACTTATATATTTTATATACAATATATATAGTATATTAACTATAATATATTTTATTATTGCCGACGGATTGTTTCCGTCAAAAAATAAATAAGTAAAACTTATAACGTCAAATGTGACATGTCTACTTCTACCAAGATAGATTAACTTTAATCCAGATTTAACTTACTTTGTATCTTTTTCTACTTTTAAGAATTAGAACAAGATAAAAAGTAAATAAAACCGTGATTAAAGTTAATCTACATTGGTAGAAATGAACAACAGACGGATGCACTAGCAGTTTCAAATTGGTGAGCGAGATATCGAGATAGAGTCGCGTTCGATATATCGGGGGCATTGTGTCGTAGGGCCGAAGGAAAAGATAGCGGTAGTTATGTTACATCTTGACGTTACATCCGATAAGATTATTACGTGTCGGATTGACATAATATCTTGCGCCTAGTTTGTATAGTCACGCTTGATCACCCGCAAACAGGCAACGATCGATTCTTCCCACGGTGAACTTGCCGATATGCGGTACGCGCGTACGCGTAAGATTCAAATCGTGGCGCCGCGATACACCGAAGTTAGACGTCAGACCGATCGCGAGCGCGATTTGGATTGATTTACGTGGGTTTTATAGCCACGGGCTCGCAATTGCTCAAGGTCGCGACGCCACGAAGTAGAACTTCGCTGCCATCATAGTTGCAATGTTGCCACAAGAGCTCGCGGGAGAATACACGTTAAACGCGCCTCGTGTATGTTCGCTCTTATTCGCTGAGAAAACATTTGACGAACGAGAGAGAGAGAGAGAGAGAGAGAGAATTTAAAACTTGTTTGTTCCATTTGAGGTATGCTTTAGAAAGAGTGTATTCAAGTATTTACTCGTATTTTATGCATTTTATCTAACAATATTATTCATCATTATAATTGAAGAGTTAACTATTAAAATTTTTTCTTCTAGTAAATATTACATATAATAAACATATTCTTGCAATAAATATTATTATTGACTTTTCGTATTATCGCGCACACAATGCTAATATTATTCCTCTTTTCATCTTTCAATTTTTTTCTTATTGGAGATTAATGAATTAATATGAATTTTTTTCCGATCCCAGGGAATTTTTGCACTCGTGAAGAATATTATTCCTTATTCTTTTTATTCAAGAATATCATTATTTTCTTATGTTATATTACTGTAGCTATATTTAGAAAAATGTTTATTGCGCGCGCATCTATACGTTTGCTTGTCACGTTTTATCTTTATCCCTACATTTATCTCACATTTATCTCTCAATGTCTCTGAACTTTCGAGCGAGTTCTTTCCTCGAAACTGGCGTTCGCGAGAGAGAGAGAATAAGTGGGACGAGGCACTCGCGGTATTGTGCGCCTCTCTCATGAATATGAATGTGCAATCGCTCGTGTCTAAGCGCGTGTCTTTGAAGTTGGCTATCTATTATCGCGTTTACGAGATATACAACTTGCAGCAGACGCACGTACGGACGCGAGGTAGCAGCCGCACCGCGATTTGTGTGTAGTTAGCCCGGAATAAATTATTTTGGAATTTAGAACGCGCACGCCCGAAAATAATTTGTTTCCCAGATAGCTGCCGACCTCTCGTTCGCGTGTTCTGCACGGGCGCACCTTTGACGTATCGACGCCGCTCCTGACAAATCCCCTCAATTTTATAAACGTCCTTCCTCCACGATTTTGACAGTAGAATAGCGATGAGAAAAGGATAAGATTAAAGCGCGCGCGATGAATACTCAATTGGAGGCCTAATCAATGCCTTTTCTCGATCTTTTCTTTTTATTTAGAAAATAAAGCTAACAAAGTAATAATAGTTGATAAAAATTTAAATTGATTATAACACATATTAGCAATGTGCAATGTACAATAACAATTACAAGAGGCAATTAATATTCATTATGAGGCACAAAAGTATAGTTATTAATGTAGGACGGCACTCGTGATTATTCCTTGAAACTGCAGAATTGCTTATTTCACGTATGTGTGCATATAGCTGCATGTATACATGTATAAATAAGAAATTATTATTTACCAAGAAATGATTATAAATAATGCTTATATTTTTGCAAACTGAAGTTGATATTGGTGATAAAAATGATAAAATTAGATAAATTATAAAAAAAAATTAGACAGTTTAGTCTCACGTTATTTTCTTAATTTCAAATATTCACAATCACGTACAATATTTTCCTATGTTGTACGTTTTCTTAGAGCAATGGCGATAACGCGTTATCACACATCTTTCTTTCGATGAGATGAATGAATCAGGTATCACATGGGATGCGTATGTTGCGTAAAAACCGTCATTACGAAATTATACGATGGATGATAAAATATCGTTTTGCATGTGATACTTGTGAGATTATCGGTTCAGGTCGCGTGGGTGAAAGTGTTAAAAGAGAGAAGAGTCCTAAAGTGCTTAAAGAAGGACAAAACTTAATTTATACCTATATATAAAGAGATATATTTTTAGATGAATACAGAAAGTAAAAACTAAATTAAGACAAGGAAATAGAAATTTATTTTAGGAAAATAATATAATTTATATAATAATTTTAAGAATGCAGAATAATGAGAGAAGTATACATATATTCGTCAATTAAATTTCATAAGCATTCAACAAACAATTTTTTCCCAACATTCTGTAACCGAAAGAAATTATTATTAAAAAAAAACAATCACAATTAAAGAAAGTGGACTAAATTTTCGCAGCGTTTTTTTATCAATCACACACAAACACAGTTTGGCATTAAATTGCACGTCTCCGATGTTTGCTTTTGCCGGCAAACTTCCTCCGGCGTTGATAACCTTTGCAGAATAATAATCTTATCTCGCACATTTGCTATGCAAAGTTACGAAGGTAACCACCTCCATGCTATCTGCTCCATAATTATTGTTAGAAGGTTAAAGACAACACGTGTGACATGACAACCAAATTTCTTCAGAAATTTTAAAGAAATTCGAGTCGATGATCATTTATAAATTAAAATAAGTATTGCTCTCGCAATGTTGCAGAACGTTGTATAATTGTTTTTTTTTTATAGTTTCGGTATCATTACTTGCGAATGAATGCCAACTCTTTCTCTTTCTTTCTCTCTCTCTCTCTCTCTCTCTCTCAGTGCCGACTGTATTAATATCATATCAATGTTATAAACTGGTTATTTTATAGCGATAATAAACGAGATTATCATCGCTATCGAATTGCGATATAAATATTTTTGTCGTATTAAATATAAACAATCTAATATACAATAAGATTAAATGTATCCATGAAATGTAAATGTAACATAAATAACGACGTAATTTTTGAAAGAATTCTTGAAGAATTATAATAATATTATGAAGAATAATAATCACAAAATAAATCCAATCATTTGTCGAAAATTATCTTAATTTTTCTCATTAAATATTTTTCTTCAATCACGATTTATCGTCAAAGTCTCAAGTCCAACTTAGATGAATGGTGATTTTACTATGTGCTTGCACTTTGTTAATTTATTCGCTATCTAAAATTAACAATCGCGATTGTATAACATGATTGTCGTTAAACATCACTTCTACGCTGGACGATTTTTCTGCCATTTAATAATACGTATCTATTGCTCAAAGATGAAATTGAGCATTGAAAAGCGTCGAATGTAGGGAGACATTTTCATATGGAATGTGCCTTTCGGAACAGGCGGGAAAAGTCTCTACGCCGTCTTACGCGAAGCGTGGATAATCATCAGGTAACTGAAATCATACGCCTCGCTAATGAACGGCTATTTTCTTTCGTACTCCGTAATTTTTGTCGCCTGAATAAGACGTTAGACATACCATAAATATGGAATATATGAATATCTGTTTATTCTGGAGTCCCTTAAGAGTCACGTTTGATAAACGAGTTGTGACAAACAACTATTCTCATGCCCTACCTTAGAGAGTTACATTTTCTATTTTAATATCACACGCGGCGCGTGCATGTAATAATATACTTTTATATAATGCGTACATTTTTGAATTTTTTAAATTAATAGTTTGAATTAATTTCGAAGAGTAGATATAAAAACTTGCTTCAATTTCTGTCAATTTTTATTCAAGGTTTTATTTTAACTCAAGGTTTATTCATGCTTTCTCAATCTTTGATTTTGCAAAAAAAGCAGCTTAAAAAATGAAGAATTACATGCGATATGCCAAATAAATTGATTACGTATTTATCATTCGTCGCAAATAAGATCGGTATCGCCTAATGGCGTATGCGAATAATTCCGCTCGATAATATCGCTATCGTAACAATATACGCGTCGATATGTTTGTTTAACGCAGCGGAGCCGTTTATCTGTATGTGTATGTGTGTATGCGTGTTATACGTACGTAAGGTAAATCTCCCTTCCTCGCCCGTATCCTTTCTCGAAAGAGCCGTACTGTCATTTCTCTCTCTCCGCGTTGTATTAGCATTTTAAATTCAATCGCGAGACATTGACGCCCTTGAGCGATAATGGACTCTTTCTTTCTCCCCT